TGTAATACACTGTAATATTTTCTATATTCTTCAATGCTAGTTCTTAAAAAGTAAAACTTTTTTTTTTTTTTTTTTTTTTTTTTTTTTTTTTTTTTGAGATGGAGTTTTGTTGGCCAGGCTGGAGTGCAATGGCATGATCCTGGCTCACTGTGATGTCCACCTCTTGGGTCCAAGCAATTCTTCTGCCTCAGCCTTCCGAGTAGTTGAGATTACAGGTGAATGCTACCATACCCAGCTAATTTTTGTATTGCTAGTAGAGATGGGGTCTCAACATGTCAGCCAGGCTGATCTCAAACTCCTGACCTCAGGTTATCCACCCACCTCAGCCTCCCAAAGTGCTAGAATTACAGGCATGAACCACCACACCAGGCATTTTTTATTTTCTTTTTTCAAATGAACTGTAAGCCCAGTATTCTCCAGTGCTGCTTCAGTTGAAGAGCTAGATGTCTGGTTAGCTTTCTTCTCTGGCACCCCACTTCCAACTCAGGGCTCGCTCCTCTGACCAGTTTCAAAGTTCTGAGGCAGAATCTGGGTCCTCAGGTTCCTCCCTTGTGACCCTGAATGTCCATTGCCAACATCTACGAATGGTTGTCATCTCCAGCAAGAATTAGGTTAATGTGTTTTCTCAATTTTATGTTTTTAATGAATTTTTTCTAAGCTTCCAACATTTGCCAGTGTTTTCCTGCTACAAAGTTAAGCTGATCACAGTGAGAGGTAGTGAGTAGCTAATAAACACAAGGGAATACTTGGCTTGACATTTTGGTATGTTTGTTGAATTTACAAGTGCATCTGATTTTAAATAGTTATTTTCTGCTAGGAAAGGTTTCCTGATGCAGGTAAATCTAACTCTACTTGTGACATGGGCAGAGAGCCACATCATACCTAGGCATTCCTCAAAGTAAACAGTGGTGTGGTATAAAGCTAGGACTTTTTTCCAAGGGCAGGAAAAGAGTGAAAAAAGATATTTTAAAAATAAAAATAAAACTAGGACTTATGGATGGGGAATGTGGACAGCCAGAGTCTGACACAGAAACAGGACTTCCCACCCCTCGCCGTGGGGGCATCCCTCCCCAAGGTGTCTTCCCTTAGGATTTCTTCTAAGTTGGGGCAACTGTTCCCCTTACTCTTCTGACCCTGAAAACTGTCTCTTCTCTCTGGTATTGCACTAGATGGTGAGTTTTTTGTTTTGTTTTGTTTTGTTTTTTTGGTAGTGAGTTTTTATTGAAGAAAATAAGAAAATAGATGATGTGGAAGAAACAGCACTTAACTTGGAGTCAGAAGACTGATGGACAGTTCAGCTTGGTAGTAATGAGTCTAGGCTTTGGATGCCTGAATTTAAATCCACTTAGTATCTGTGTGACCCTGTAACAGAGATGGGCTTTTGCAAGGAATATGTGAGCTAACATGTATAGAGCAATGCCTGGCCCACAATAAAAACAGTGAGCCTTAAGAAGACTTATCTTGGGATCCCAGCCCTGTCATTTACTAGCTGCGCCACTTAGCTTATTCTTAAATTGCTTCAACTCTCATTTGTACTCATCTGTAAAATGAGGGAACTGCACAAAGTCATCCCTCAGAGGCTGCTTTTTTTTTTTTTAAACGGAGTTTTGGTCTTGTTGCCCAGACTGGAGTGCAGTGGCGTGATCTCAGCTCACTGCAA